TCAAGGGATTAACTTTTTTCCCTAATTCGAACCAGCCTTTCTCTCTTTTCTCTCTTCTCTCTTTTCTTCTTTCCTCTCCTACTTCTTGCTGTCTACTTTACTCTACASTCAMCGAACAARACAGAATTCTATGGCAGGTCAAACTTCAACACTATTAAACTAGATATGGCTAAAGCCTATGACCATCTTGAATGGTCTTTTCTTCTCTCAATTTTAAAAGCTCTAGGATTTTCACAGGACTTCTGTCACATTATCTTAGAATGCATCTCTTCTTTTCTTACTTTGTACTCATTAATGGGATTGTGGAAGGAGAAATTCTCACCCACTAGAGGACTTAGACAAGGAGATCCTTTATCCCCTTACCTATTTATTCTTGCAATGGAATGTTTTACTCGAATGATTGCTAAAGCTAAAGAAGATGGTCATCTAAAAGGAATTCAAATAGCAAATAGGGTCCCCACTATCTTTCACTTACTCTTTACTGATGATATTCCTATTTTCCTAAGAGGTTATCGTTAAAATTCAGACACCTTCAAAATCATCCTTCACCAATTCTAGGATGCGTAAGGACAACTTATAAACCTAGATAAATTGGGCAATTACTTCAGTAAGAACTTTCATCCTAGACATTAGAGAATGATACGAAGGCAACTTCAGATGAAAGCCCTCCCTTAAAAATTCTAAGTATCTTGGTATTCCTTTGAATTGGGGATGAAATAAGCATTCCTAACTTTCTTTCATTTTAAATAACCTTAAAGCAAAACTCAACAGTTGGAAAGCTTCTACTTTAAGTCAAGTGGGAAAAGGATCCTCATCCAATCTATTCTTCAAGCCATTCACACGATGAGTGTAGCCCAACTTCCTCAAAAAACTCTTACTGCTATTGAACAAATTATTAAGAATTTCTGGTGGGCTAAATCTGATACTAATCCCTACCCTTATTATTGGTGCTCATAGAATAAACTTGCCCTACCTCGATCATTTAGCGGTTTGGGATTTAGAGATATCAAACTTGTTAATCAAGTCTTACTCAAAAAACTATCTTGGAGATATCTCAATGAACAACATAAATTATGGGCCCAACTTTGAAAATCAAAATATCTTCGGGATAATACAATCTTCCCTTATCTAATCCCTTGATCAATTTCTTTCTTTTGGAAATCTAATGCTTTGAAACTCCAAAATCTCCTTCATGAAATGGGCTTTTGGCATCTGAAAATTCTACTTGCAAAACTGACCACCTCCCTTGGATTCAAAACAACAAAAATTTCCAAATGATAAATCAACTGAATTTACCCAACATAATGGAACTTGGAATATGTCTACTCTTAGAGCTTACTTCAATAGGGGACAGATCTCCTAAATCTTAAAAACATCTATTCTACCAGTAAACACTCCCGTATCTTGGATCTAGACCAAACACTCTTTAGGAAAATTCTCTTCTAATAGCTTACAAAAATCTACTTATGCCCCATCTAAACAGACTGTCTAAAAACCTAAAATTATGTTTGAAATGGATTTGGCATCTTTCGATCCCTCTGCGTTACCAATTATTTCTCTGGAGAGTTATTCAAGAATTCATCCCCGTTAAAGGAAAAATTTTGCAGGTAGATCAAGATCAAAATTGTGTTTTTTGTCATGTTAGTATAGAAACCATAAATCATCTATTTATGGAGTGTTCCTTCACTTAGTCCATCTTATTTGCATCTCCTTGGAATATTAACGCCAATCTTCATGGGTCAATTGTATCAATGAATTAGCAAAACTTTTTCCTGAAAAACTATGCTAATTCAAGTGTTTAGTTGGTATGCTGTAGCTCTATATTATATCTAGTTTGCCTGTAATGAGAAATGTTTTAAAGAGATAGCAGTATCCAATTTTTAGGTTATAGGAAAAGTCAATAGTATCTTTAATAGCATTCATGTTCTACAGATTCAGTCAAATGTAGCACAGAGAGTTCCTCCAAAATTTTGCATCAATTTAAATTCAAATACTGATTGCATTATATTTACAGATGCTGGCAAAATTAATCACTCCCTATTTAGTTATGGCATCATCATCTTATTTAGATTGTCTTTGTATCACAGGAGGAAGGAAGCACCTAAAGTCAGTGGAGGAAGCTGAACTTTTTGCTATACAGCAGGGAATTCATCAAGTACTTCAAATGGCCAAATCTAATTTATTGATATATTCAGATTCCCAACTAGTTGTGCATGCGCTGCAAAATACAACTTATCTACATTGGTCGAGCCTGTGACTTTTAATGAAAACCAAAAACTTTTTGTTGAATCATTATCCTTCAGATACAGCAGATGTAAATTAAAGGACCTTGTAATCTGTTCCCCTAGCTAATATAATGCTTTTATCTTTCAAAAAAAAAAAAAAATTCCTGTCTCAAATCCAACCTGAGATTTGCTGTATGGATGTGGATGCCAACAACCATTCATCGTCATCAGCTGAAGGCTACGTTATGTACCAAAATCAGAATCTGTGTATCGATTTTGGCCATTATATTTCATGTGTTATTTCTTTCATGTCAAGGAATCCTATGCAAATCCGAATGGGCCACCAGGGAACTGTATCTAAAGGTTTCTTGTCTGAATCGGCCATGCATGTCTGGAGAATAGTCAATACCACTACAGTTAATGGGTGTGCAATTTCTTTATTATTGCTACTTTTTTACTTATTTCTAGTCCAGTCATTTGCGGGGAGGGGGTCTACAAAGCATCTATCTGCTTCTTCCACCATGTTACTCACAACACTAAGCATTTGCCTACGACCCCCCAACAAGATATGGACACACAAGCATCCATCTATCTATTCGTTTAATAGCTGGCCTGGTCATATACGATTGGAGGGTCACAAGAATATGCTGCCACATTTGTTTGTCAATCTATATGATTTTATGATTTTTCTCTTTGAAACGGAAACTAACTGTCACATCAGCAAATCAGAGAATGGATTTACATTTTCATCTCTTCACTCTCATCAGCTGAGGCTCAGAGCTTACGAGTCTCTTTATTACTTTTCTAAATGGGACCGACCTTTTGGGTGAGTTCTCTTTTGCATGCACCCACTTTTGTACGAGTGTAGAAGAGAAATAGAGGGATAGTCCACGTCAGATGAAGAGGTAGAATCCACTCAATCCTTGATTTCTGCCATAACATTGATGGACCCTTTGATAGATACAACTCTGTTTTGAGTACTTTTTCACTTGTACTCTTAGACAATTAGTGTTAATTTACTCGTACCAATCAATGCATCAGAGGGTGGTGTATGCTAAACCCAGTTAGTGGGGTTAGTGCTGGTAGAAGGAAAAAATTTCACTCCTTGAATGAAGAAGAATGCAAGATTGGCACATAATCAATGCTGTACCAAGGCTTAACATAATTTTTTACAGTCCACTGCAGAATTTTGAAATTACAGCCTCCCATAGTCTATTAGTAGCCCCTGCTATAAACCACATCTTACTCGTGAATTTGACATCAATCTATGATCACAATTTATCCCACTTATCCCACTTGTACGGTGGAGATAAGAATTCATGCTGATATTCAATCTTTTCAAAGAAGCATTCAAACCTAAAAGATTATATGCTTGTTGTATTTATAGTGTTCTGAAAAGAAGATTCAAAATGCATGAACCTTTCTTCTTCCTCTCGTTTGAGTTGTGGTAACAGGTGCATACAGGCCTAGCTTGTATTCACCATGCAATAGCCGAATCCCAAATAAGAATAAACCTTCAAGCATGTGTAATATAATACACAATATGTGTTTACATGCTTTGAAGGTACATTCCTATTGGTGATCCAATAATGGATCCACCAAGGCATTGTTTGTTTTTAGGTACTCGGGTAATGTATTTTTTTTTGGGCAAATTGTTTTTAGAAAAAAGTTGCTTGAGTAACTTTTAAAGCAAATGTTCTTTGGAGAAGTACGGACAGGCCTATTGCAGATTTATAAATCCCATTGCAGACCTATAAATATTCAAAATGTTAAATATCTCCACTCTATGCATCAATGTCCATCCATGAAGTAACATCAGTTAACACCAACCCCAACTGTACTTTGGGCCTAAAAATTCTGACCATGAGCTGAACCGTCATTCTCTCAATGTTCTTTTGCACCATAACTTATGGAGGCAACATGAAATGAGAGAAGAGATAAGCAACTTATTCATCCTCCGGGAGAGTATCCCATAATAGCTGTGCGAGAATGCAGGTAAATCGATCAATTACACGGTTGGTCAATTTACCTCTGCAAGATACGAGTAGATCGCAATACGTTTGAACCCCTGGCCGACAAGAATGAGATCAGTTCTCTTGTGATTATTGTTAGACTTCAGTACACTGGTGGGGTATGGGTGTTAGAATTGTTGTCACACATCAAATCATTTTTTTTTTAATTGCAGTTTCAGTTACAAATAACTAAAGATGAGTTGTTTGTTTGTTATTGTTGGTTTGTGAATGGTGGTTATACGGGGTATCTGTAATTCAGATTAAAACCAGTACAATCAGCTTCAAAATCACTAAACTTTTGTCCAAATATTCCTCTTTTTTAATCACTACTTTGCAGTTTGCACTGATAAATATGAAGCAGAAAGCTGCAACTCCATTGTTGATCTTTAGGAGAATTATCTTTTACTACTTTTGGGAGAATTTATAGATCGAAAGGGGTTATGATACCACACCAAGCAGCTCAGTGGGATAAAAACAATGGAGACATTTAAACTTTTTAATATGAAAGGTGTTTGGTACTATGTATAGTGTTTTAAGTCACAACTTTTGTACTTAAACTATGACACTATGACATTATGACATTATGACATTATGACATTGGGAATGGAGAAAGTGAGATGTTTTGACACCATAGCATCCTAGTCACGTATGGAGAACATCTCATCCTCTTACATGCTATTATGCATGGAGAAATGTTTCCAATTCACAGAGATAGTGTTCAATGGATAACTGTGGGTGGAGTTCTTGTGGGTAGGAGATCCTGAGTCCCATAAGCTTATGATAATTTCAAATACATGACATCACATAGTACAACTGAAGTAGGGACGCCCCCCAAATGCTTAGAAATGAATTTTGACATTTCCCACACCGAGGGTGGCAACTTGGGTTGGGTTAAGCATTTGTGAAATATTTTAACAGGCCTAAACCTTAAACCAAGCCCGATCTAGTTGAATTTCTTTAATTTGGGCAACCCACCCCTATATACATAGGGGTGTCAATGGACCGGTTTTGGATTGGACCCCATCCAAACCAAAACCAATTTGGACGGATTGGATGGACCAACAAGACATATTGAATTGGAGGTACCAGTCCAGACTTAATGCTTCAAAGTATTATTTATTGGATTGGATTGGACCTGATCCATATAATAAATTTATATTGAATTGGTTTGGATTGAGCCAATTAATATCTCGTCCATTGATAGAAGATAAGAATATAGGTGCCAATGGACCAGGTTTGGGTTAGAACCATTATAAATTAAAATAAATTTGAATAAATTGGATGGCCCAGATATTGAATTGGACCAGTCCAAAATCGTCCAAAATATTTATTGGATTGGATTGGACCTGGTCCATTTGTAATGGACTCACATTGGACCAAATCCAGTCCAATTGACACCCCTACATATATACATAACCCAACAAAAAATAAGCACATGTATTTGAATGTATCTATTGACTGTTTGCCATGATGAAACATTTAAAGAAGAAAAGGGATGCATCTATTGAGTATTGACTGTTGTTCAGTCTTCTGATAAGAGCTCTCTTACATCCAAAATATCCAGGGGAATGATCCCACCATCTTAGCTGTACCAACTGGCCCATCCGAGATGGACTTCAGTAGGGCTAGGCTGTTTTTGCCACGTGATTGGCTATGTAATTGGACATGGACCCTCTACATTTACTGCATGTTTGATCTTTGTTCTTCTATATCTATATGGGCCCTATTGGGCTTGCTACAGAGGAATATTCTTGGGCCACTTGGAGTTGTTCTCAAATGATTCGGACACCTAAGCCTACATGACTACATGATTCATGTGAATTACCTCAATACCATTTAATTGAGACCATGTTAATCAATCTCCAGGGCCGACAGAAATGTCCAACCTCCATTATTGGGATTGTAAGCTATAATTTAATAAGGTTCAGTTTGGTTTAAAGGAATTGAAGGCTTAGAATTGAAATCGGAATGAGCCATTTCAATTTTAACTGTTTAGTTGAGTAGAATCGGAATTCTATTCTCATTTCTAGTGGAATGATATTCCTCCATTTGAGAGAATCACTATTCTTTATTTCTTCTTTGGGAATAAAATCCTACTCCAGCTAATTTTAATTCTCATTGGCATTCTTATCTAGACCAAACAGAATATGGGAATAGACCATTCCAGACTGCCAAACAAACGGACCCTGCAATAATCTAAGTATATCTGGGGCCTTTGGTTCTATCTATAAAGCCCAAAATGCTGAATCTGCTCCTATATATATCAAGTTACCAACCCCCTTCAGCTGAAAGATTCTAACAAGCCGAAGGACGACGCCCTTACGACACGTCTGTAAATGAACGAGTTTTTTGACTCATTTCTGTCGGAAAACCAACAGACAACATCAGCTGCCATCTGTTTGATCTGGGTCTCCACAGAGTAATGAAGGCGTACTCTCAACTCTGTGGAATAAGCCGAACAAAGGTTCTGACCGTACATTTAACCTATGGCCAACCTCTATCCACAGAGCAGAGGTGGTGCTGGCTATCGATTTAATTTCTAAATAAAAAATATGCGGTACTCACATTGGCAACAACGATAAGCATCTGCTACATGTATGTGATGCTGGAGTGGACTTCATACCTGCCAAGTTACTGACAAGTAGGATGCAGTTCGGTTCATTTGGACGGAAACTGTCAGCCAGTTGGTACCATTCAACCAAGAACTATGTTTTCATCAGCTGGGTCTGTAACCCATTGAAGGGTCCAACTGATGCATCATCAAGGGTGGCTTTTAATTAAGCCAACTAACATGAATTCTGTTTTATTTGCTTGTTTTTTGGCAGAAAACGAGAGAAAATCATGAATCGAATAAAATATAGAGATTGCTGTCTGCTTTGTGCTTGCCACCGACCTGCGGTATGGCAAACAATGAGTTCTATTAGTCGTTGGGAGAGAGAGAAAGAGAGTACAGAGTAGTTATGGATCTACTAAAGTGAAAGGAAGCCTCGTCTTAATTTCCCGGTGTACTGTGTATGTTGAAACAGTCTGTTTTCAATACAAACAGTCACACAAAAACATACAGAGACAGAGAGAGAAGGGAAGAGTCGTCTTTCCCTGTTCACTGCATTGTGCTTTTGGATGAGCAATCAAAATCAAGGATGGGGAGTTGAAAGGACAGCCTCTTTGCCTTTTCCCACTTCCCCGTGCACTGGATTTGTAAGTTGAAATGACAGTTTCTTAACCTCTCCCCATGCACTGAATTTCTAAGTTGCAACGATAGTTCTTTTCCAAATACTGCATGTTCACACACTCACAGACAGACAGACAAACAGATTCACTGAAGCTGACACACAGAGAGAGAGAGAGAGAGAGGTCTTGTATGTCCATGGAGAGAATCGTGAAGAGACACAAAGTAGAAGTTCTACGTGGAAGATAAGCACGAGTGATTATAACCCAAGTACGAAGCACGAATTTAGAAGCAAAATAATTAGTTGGATCACTGCTTGAATCTTGAATTGTACATTTTTGTGGGAATATTTCTTCAGTGTGACATTGCTAATCATAGTATAAAATCCTCTTTCAAAGGCAATTTACTGTCTTATGTTCTTGTGGATTAATTTCTTGTCTGACTGGTGTGACTCATCAAATCAGCTGGTATGTGAGGTCATTCCTTACAGAGTGATGACATTTCAATGATGGGTTTACCCCCAATTAACATTCTTTTTCCTTTTAATCCAAAATTCATCATTTTTTTTCCCCTTGAACATATTCCAATCCAGCTAGACCTTTAAAAAAAATATGTACACAGTAGAATTCGCTCATATATTTTAAAGAAAAGAACAAATGCCCACTTATCCTAAATTTCTACTTACATCATCCCATAACTAACTAATATGTAGCATAACCAAAAACAGACCTCTCTCAGCCGACCATCTCAAGAGACCTTATCAGATAGCGACTACCCTAACATGACTAAAAGCCTTCTTTGTTATTTGTTTATTAGGGCTTTATGTGGCAACATGAGCTATAGCAAAAGGGCTTTACTAGGCCTTTTGGCCCACTTCATTTTTCCATATCTATAATTAACCAACAAAGTTGGGTATTAACAGGAATCTTTGGTAGGAATAATACCCTTTTTGGCCCACTTCTTCATCCCCCACAAAGCCCTTTTCCTATCTAATAATCTAGTATACCCATTACAATTAGGCAGTTGATGATTATAGCCCACAATAGCTAGTGGCTAGTGATCACTGGCACAACGTTTTGCACCGCCTGTTTCTCTCTCTGTACTACAAACCTTGAACAAGTATGGAGATCATACAACTCTGTCTCACCACCTTGATTGGTTGGTTGCTGAAATTTCAAATTCCATGTGACCGAAGGAAAAAGGGAAATCAGATCAGGGTCACTTAGCAAATACTTGATTTGATCATCACTGGACGGTGCATGTCTAGGCAATGATTCATCATCTGCAGCCACTTAGCAAGCAGAAATAGGATTGCATGTTGACTGAAGAGCCACATAGCTAGAGAAAGCTGTGCTGTGCCTGAGTAGACTAATCGCAGACCATGAAGGGCTTATGACGTGTAATTAAGGAACTAAGGACCCACACGTAGAGAATAAAGTAAAAAAATTACATGAGAAGAAACACAGAAACCAGGAGCCATCTTCTTCGAGTGTGTCCAAGTCAAACGTGGGGCAGCCATGAGCCGTGCATGCAACAGAAAATCTATGAGAAAAGTGGGATGGGCCGGCCGCAGGTTCTCTCGACCGACTTGTCCTTCCAATGGCGCGCCAGAGTCATGGCTTACCGCTTACCCACACGTGCTATCTCAACTCAATATTAGTATCCAATGAATGAATAAATTCTCTTGAATCCTCATCTTACACGTATTAAGTCATCTGTTCATCCCACCTCTCTCTTTATTAATTCCTCTCCTATAAAGATCCCCAGAATCCACCCTACTCTTCACCAACACTTTTCCACTTGTTCCCTCTGCCTTTGCTCCAACTATGCAACCTTCTCAGCTCTTCTTTAACAACCCAAATAGTCCCATATGTGAAATTGAACCGAAAATGTGGGCACCCATGAAGAAAAACTCGGCAAAATCTCCGTCTTTTACATGTAAAATTCATGTTAGGCCATCGAGGAAGACGCCCCCCATCCCTACAACACCCATGCCGAGGCCTGAGCCAAAGCCACTGATCCAACCTCAACCTTCAGCTCCGCCCAAGCCCGTGCCTAGACAGCCCTCCGAGCGAAACCCACTTCAGAAATTGGCAGCGGCAGTGTTGGACAAGGTGGAGGCCTCCATAATAGAGGAACATATGGAGAAGAAGCATCCGCTACCACGGGCGGTGGACCCAGCCATTCAAATAGTTGGGAATTTTGCTCCAGTGAAGGAGTCGCCTGTTCAGCATGGGCTCAAGGTAGCCGGTCGAATCCCCGCAGACCTCCGTGGTGGGGTTTACGTGCGGAATGGAGCAAACCCCATGTTTGCTCCGACCGGAGGACACCACCTGTTTGACGGAGATGGCATGATCCATGCCGTGTCGTTGGACTCTGCTGACAGAGCTATCTACAGTGGCCGGTTGACGCGCACAAGCCGACTTGTGCAAGAAGCGGCAATGGGGAGGCCCTACTTCCCAAAAGCAATTGGAGAGCTGCATGGCCACTCGGGTATTGCTCGACTGGTGCTCTTCTGTGCGCGCTCCATGGCTGGCTTAATCGACGCAAGCCAAGGCATCGGAGTGGCCAATGCTGGGCTTGTTTACTTCAATGGCCGACTGCTTGCCATGTCCGAGGACGACCTCCCCTATCATGTCAAGATCACGGTTGACGGTGACCTCGAAACAGTTGGGCGGTACGACTTTTGTGGGCAGCTCCGATCACCGATGATCGCACACCCCAAAGTGGACCCAGCGACGGGTGAGCTTTTCACCCTGAGCTACGACGTGGTCAGGAAGCCTTATCTCAAGTTCTTCAAATTTGACGCGCGCGGTAGAAAGTCCCCCGACGTTGCCATCTCCCTCCAACAACCAACCATGATCCACGACTTCGCTATAACTGAGAATTCCGTCATCATCCCTGATCATCAAGTCGTTTTCAAGCTCTCCGAGATGGTTCGCGGCGGATCGCCGGTTGTCTATGACCAAAAGAAAACTTCCCGATTCGGAGTCTTGCCGAGATATGACGTAGACGAGTCCAGAATTCAATGGATTGATGTGCCCAACTGTTTCTGCTTCCACTTATGGAACGCGTGGGAAGAGAACTCCAGCAACGGTGACAAATTAATCAAGGTCATCGGATCCTGCATGACTCCTCCAGACTCTGTATTTGCGGACCGGAACGAGCCGCTTCGCAGCGTCTTATCAGAAATTCAGCTAAACTTGACAACCGGTGTGTCCAGTCGTCGGGAAATTGTGTCGGGATTGAATTTAGAAGCAGGGCAAGTTAACAAGAAACTGCTTGGCCGGAAGACCCAATACGCTTACCTCGCAATTGCCGAGCCGTGGCCGAAATGCTCAGGTTTTGCCAAGGTCGATTTGGAGACTGGAGAGGTAAAGCAGTTTGTTTATGGTGATGGGAGGTTCGGCGGAGAGCCGTGTTTCGTGCCTGCTGGGCGCCATTCTTTAGATTTATCAGCTGGTAGTAATGAAGATGATGGGTATGTCATGAGCTTTGTCAGGGATGAGAAGACTGAGACATCCGAGCTGGTGGTGGTGAATGCTTCGACCATGAATCAAGAAGCTTCAGTAAAGCTTCCTTCAAGGGTGCCCTACGGCCTCCATGGTACTTTTGTTAGTTCTGAAGATCTAAAAGCTCAAGCTTTTGGTTTTAAATGATAAACCGTTTTTTTTTTCCTACTTTTCTTTTTCGTTTCTGTTGATTTCTCCCTTGAAGGGTACAAACAACCTACATATACAAAAACCTGTATATTCTAAATGTGAAAAATTAATATTTGTAAAAGGTTTCGTAGATGGACCCATTAATTTATTTTACTCCTCTGGTCGTTTTTTATACTTAGCCACGTGGACAATGTTGCCACGTGGAGCAGTTTTGTTGGGTAGGTCCATCCATCCGTCAGACGGTTAAATGGAAAGCTAATTAAGCTTGGACCATTTGCAGTGGAAGAGACATTGTCTGTTTCTTGTCTGGAAGACTCTGTAATGAAGGTACGTACCGGGCTGTTTCGGTTGTTCATCGGCGATGGAATCTCCGGCTGGAAATGGTAGGAGATTCAGTGGATAAGGCCCACCGTCAAGTGTGGTCCATATTTATCATATAATGTCACCAAGCACTCCAACGTGGCAAGCACTCCACTAGCTAGTCCACTAAAACCTCTATGGATGGTTGCTTAATTTTATCACATTTAGGAAGAGAGGTGAGAGGCCAGCTCAAACCGTCTCACTCTTACAACGTGGCAAGTTAGGACATAATAGGCCTCCATCACGTCAGAGTCAGACAGAGAGAGAATTCGATTTTACTACCATAGTATCGTAGCGCAGGGCTAAAACCGAGAATCAAGGCCTTTGATGTATTGTTCTAATTGTCTTGGCTGTTGGGTCATGGGTTAAATAATTCAACCGGTCTGGTTCGACTTTGATCTGATTCAAATAAAAATACAAAAATGAGTATCTTCAGATTATCTTTTAAAAGCCATTTTAGATCAAAATAAGCGTATAACAATGAATAATATATAAGTCGTCAACATTTAGAAGAACAAAAAGTATCTGGGAAACCCCTCTGGATACAGGGTTCCCGGTCCAAACAGTCTGGACCACCGGTCGGATCTTAATCTGAGGATACTGAAATTCAAAATATATTGGGATTCCAAGTTTTTATTATCATTTGCCAAAATTTACTTTTTAAGATTCCAGAACCGGTTTTGGATATAATCTACATGGCTCAATCAAGGAAGTATTTGGCAAATCATTTCACGTGGTCTTTCAGATTTTTCAAGCCTCGGAAGAATAAAATGTGGCTTTTTTTCTGTTTGGCAATAAAATATATTAATCCAAAAAGATGTATGCCCTAAAAATTTCATGAAAGACCCAAAATAGTCAAAAAATCTTTCTACACCAAAAATCTTTCATTTAACAGTTATGTGGATCATGATAGAATTCATAGGATACCTAATAAATGTGGTCTAAATCTTCAAAGACAAAACCCCAAAAGTTCACACATCTTTTGGGTGATGTTTGGCATGGATGATGATTTCTCCTTGCTGATTATCCAGAAAATATAACCAATTTTTGGTATCAATTATTTTTGAAAAATCATAAAAAATTGTTGTTTGGTATATGCCATGTAAACTGATTTTTGAGAAGTCGGCTTTGAATCTGTTTGGTATTTTATTTTCAAGGGCCTATTATTTCTGTATTAGAGTTGTTATTCAATGCCATGTCATCCTCAAAAAATTAGAATTAGTTAAAAATCAAGGAATCACCAGAAAAGGTGATTCCCTGAAAAGGGTTGATCTCAATAATCGATTTTTGGTTGATTTCCCAGAAATCGACATAACCGGCCAACCAAACCAAAAAAATACCACTGATTCTTCAGATTCTGATATGGATCCTGCGTGGCACCGATTTATGTGAAATCATCATTGGTGCCAAACATTACATCACCTTAGCCATCTAGACTGTCAGAAGGTCTTCCTAAAAAGAATCCAATCTAGAATTCTATCTCCGAGCTGGATGCCATAGAATCGTTGCTAATAGTAGTACAATGCGAACAACAAGTTATTGGGAAATGGCTAAGACCTTGTCAAAATTTCTCACAAAGAAAAGTACCTGATAGAACTAAAGCTAAATGGTTTATTGTTGATTGATCATCCGTCCCTCTCCAATTCTAGGGCTATCTGTCTTTTAGCAGGCAGCCCTTCAAGCACCAAAAGGAAAAGTAGAAGGGGAAACACGAAGGATAGGACTCCATTCAAATCTAGAATCATAACTCATTCTTTCACTATGTACACGTGCACCACCCATAAAGGTGAGGTGAGAGGCCAAGGGCATAGAGCATATATAGACGGTCCCATTCCATCAAGGCTATATACTACACCATTAACAATGTCTCCATCATGACAAGAAATTAATGGAAAATGGTAGAAGGGTGTCATATATTATTGTGATGCTACCCACCAGGCCACTTTGATGGGTTCAACTATGCAATTTGTTGTTTGGACGATTCCATGAAAGATGTGATTGATTGGGGGATCTTATCTGTTGTGTTCAGGTATTTTCAGAAAAATCCATACTTTAGGTCATTATTGTGTCTGCTTGATCCACTTTGTGTACTTTCTTCATGTGTTGTAGAAGTAGAAGTGACTTACTTTTAACCCCTCTCCCTCCCCAAACAAAAGAAAAGAAAAGAAAAATTTCCAAAAAGAAAAAGTAGAAAGTAAGGAGTGTTATTTGAAAAATAAGTGTTTATTCTAATAATAGCTTATGAACGTTTGGTAAAAAAGCACGTATTTTAAATAGGGGTAGTATAGTTATTTTCAAAATGACATGGTGGGCCAAGATAGGCTAAGAAGGAAATAAACACTTAAAAATAAGCCCAAAATTTGAGTTTATCAAATAAGTATTTATTCTTAGAATAAGCACTTATTTTGGACTTATTTCCCAAACATAAATAAGTTCTTATTGGTGTGGTCCCGGCCCAATATAAGTGCTTATTCAAATAAGCGCTTATTTTTAAATACTTCTAAACGCCTTAGAGTATGTTCTTAATTATTTTATTCCTTCCCTTGGATTTGATTTCAGTAAAAAAAAATTCAGGGAAAAGATAACATGTTTTATATATATAGTGTTCAAACAATTTAATCTTTGTGTGTGTGAATATATATAATAATAATAAAAAAGGAAATGGTTTCTTTTCCAATTAAGGCATATCTTATCTTAATAATAAAGTTAAGTCAAGAAAACCGGTTGACATTAAGGAATTTTCAAAGTTATTTTAACAAACCATATTGTTTAGGGAAAATTCCCGATCAGTACTCTATACTTTGGCTTGAGTGACAATTTAGTCCCCAAACTTTAAAATGAGACAATTCAATACCCAAGGTTTCAAAACGTGACAATATCAATTCGTTAATTAGCCGTTGAGTGACATTTGAAAAGATAAAAATGTCCTTCGCGAGTGCCATCTAATTCTCTTTATCAATCATTCAAACATTGACAGAAAATGAACAGTCCCAAATCCAAGCCTCTTCTATTCAAAAAAGTTGGTGATTGTTTAGAAGAAACTAGAATTTGGACTATTCATTTTTTGTCAATGTTTGGATGGTTGATAAAAAGAATTAGATGACACTTGAAGGGTATTTTTGTCTTTTCAAATGTCACTTAACGGCTGATTAATGGACTAGTTAACGACAAGTATTGGAATGTCACATTTAGAAAGTTCGGGTACTAAAATGTGACATTTTGAAAATTTGAGTACTAGATTGTCACATTTTAAAATTCATGAACCAAATTGTCACTCAAGACAAAGTACATGATACTAATCGAGTATTTCCCTATTATTTATTTAGTATTATGAAAATTAAAACCTATGATCATTGCATTGCTGCTTCCATGAAGCATGAAAAAAATTGATTCTATGATCTTAGATATTGCCAAATATAATGAGATGTGTGTTGATTATTTGATACTATATCAAGCAAAACAACCTTTATATAACCCTACTGAGGCTCTACAAGCATTTCTTCATTCATCATTTCCATTAAATACCCTTAACCCGGAGGAAAGTTTAATAAATATACATAAAGAAAGCTGGCCGCAGATTCTAGGAAAATCTAGATAACTCTTAAGTAAACAGTTGCCTACATATACCCGTTTTGTTCTTCTCTTCCCAATTTCAGTTTCAAGTTCCAAATACCCATTCTAACTAATTAAGAAAAAAAAAAAAAAACGTAGAAGAAACTTGGGCTCTATTTATTTGAATTGCAAATTTGAATCGGGTAAAAATTTGTATATGTTAATTTGTAACTATCATTTGCACTTTCACATGATGCAAACTTTACACCTTTGTCTTATTGAGAAATAAAATTGATGTGAAAAAACGTACTACTTCCTACTTTAATGTCCGCTCATATATATATAAAGTGGGGATACCATATCATTTTATTTCCTATTTCACTCTCCCAACAAACAACCTTTTTCCTTTTCCATTCTCTTTCAAAAAAGGTGGGGATTATATCACTCTACTTCCAATTTTACTCCTTTCAATCCACAAACAAACAAAACAGTCACTCCAAACTAGAATTTATACTCACCTCAAACTCTCAATACATTTGTATCAGTCCAAATTTTCATTTGCACTGCAAACAAAATGGCGCATTAATTAAACAAATTAAATCAATAAAAGAGTACCCACCAAGAGACCTGAGCGACCCCACTGGACTGGAGTACGTAGACGGTTCAAGTTCCATTAATTCTACAAGCCTTTAGTAGGTAGGTTGGATTTCACAATGGTCCAGTAGTTGCACTAAAAACGTCAATAAAAGAGCACTCGATTATTTGTTTCTTAATATATAAATCCGGTTTAATTAACAAGTCCGGCCGTGTCAACATTTTTGGATTAGACCGGAGTGGCCCATGCATGGTCCAGAAGACTGAAACCGATGCATTGCTCATCAGATCGAATAAGCCGGTGACCCCTGAATGCCGTTAATGACCGTTGAACAAAGTTGTTGGAGAAAAGAAACACCACGACCTTCTGAATGTTCTAGGGACAAGCCAAGAATCTTGGCTAGAAAAGCGACATCCTCGTCAGTCAATTACCCTCCTCTAGGCTCTGTCTCTATGGCCGATGGGACGGGACATGACCACCAGAGTTGCTTTGAGATGAGCTGGCCTGGACGAATCCAAGAACGCTTTTGCTCTCACTTTTTCGGGTCCCACAAGCCAACGATTAGAGCTGTTGACCATCCCTCAGGCATCTAATTTAATAACCTCAGTACCTCACC